GACTAAGAGAAGGACAAGCAAAATTGCTATGACTTTGAATTCAGTTTTACTTTTTCAAGACTTGCAGCCATTCAAGGCTAGAGATTCCAGTCTACCCTGCTAGATAACCGAAAGCTGGAGGGGGGGAGATATTCGTGCCTTTTCAGAAAGTATAAGTGCAAACTGAACTTCTTTTTCTCACTGAAACCAAGTAGCTTCTCTATGTCTTTTCTCTCTTTCTACGTGATCAAAACTGAATAGACCATTATTTATGTGGTATTGGCAGGGCGCAACGGTCGGGCTAACTAAGGGAGCGAGAAGCAGAATTATATTTTCTGTTTGTTTTTAACCTAGGAAAATTTCAGTTTTCCTATTTTAATGTTCTGTTGAATCTTAATTCTTAAGCTGATGATTGAGTAAGCTCATGGAGAGTTCTATAATAATAAAATATCTGTAGAAATTCCTCCATCCCATCGTTAAGTATTTGAGCTTAGCAACTTTAACAAAATATTACAATAATAATCATAAATAGAAATGCTGGTCGTTATTTAAGAAGTGGGTACAAATGAAAAGATTTAATTCATTTTTTTTTTTTTTTTTTTTTACTGTGGCTGACCGAGCGATTGAAGCATTTTTGAGACATTTTCGTCCCAGTGAATTATTTTCTTTTGTTTGCAGCTTCATTTACACTAAATAGGCATCCAGGTTCTTACAACGTTCAACCATTCTGAGTAGATTTTCTGTTATCACAATGTGCGATATTTACTAACAAACGTGATGGAATAAAAAAGAATCTAGATGAAATTGGCTAGATGATATGCAAAAAAAAAAAAAAAATATTTTAAAATTTTGAAACTACCAGCGTCACCCGTTCGTGCAAATGTTTAGTCACAACGTAAAGAAACTCAGTCCGATGAAGTCCGAACGGTCCGTCACAAAAACTTTTTTTTCTAACTTGTCATTTTTTCTTTCAAAACTGTTTTTGATATATAAAAAATTATATATCGTTTTCTCATATAACGTATAAACCGAGATATATATATATATATATATATATATATATATATATATATATATATAAGCAATCGCCACCTCCAGTGAACCCAATAATTTATTAATTCAGAGATCTGATATTTTAAAAAGGTGTAGATATAGGAAATTCTGGTTATTGGAATGGAGACTGTGAGGTTTTTCTTTCCTATCTTCTGTCACGTGGTTTTATGTTAATTAGTTTTTTTAGTGGTTTTATCAATAAATAATGTTTCGTGTCATTTCCTCTTTAACCAGATTACCCTGAAGATACGTTTAGGTTGTTCCTGGCTCTTTAGGATTTATTTTATTTACATATATATAAGTTCGATGGACTTATCTTAAACGACAGCGGATTTCCGTGTCAAGGTGTCCGATAAATGTATTTTAATTGAGAGGCGATACAGACATAGGAATCAACTATGTTTGAAAACCACATTGAGGCGTGACAGTCTTTATGCAGTATTGATTCTTGTGTCCACTTTCTTTTTATGTGCCATGTCGTTTCAGGATGTAAACGATCATGGCTCTCCACCTCCCTCTATCCCTTGCAGGCTCTCAACATGTTCCTTCTTTCTGCTTCCGCCCTCACACCACGTTCAGTCATCCACTTGCAAAAGTCCGCCAGGTATGTCAAGCGTTGTTTTCCCTTGTCTCTCTTTCCCTCTATTTGACTTGTGAGTATCAGATTCTCCAGGCCCTCCTTCCTCATTATGTGTCCCAAAAATATCAGCTGCCTCTTCCTGATATTAATTATAAGCCTCCTTGTTTGCAACCTCTCTAAGACCTCATCGTTGCTCACACGCTCGGTCCATGATATCCTTAGCATCCTTCTGTAGACCCACATCTCTGTCGCGTCGAGTCTCTTCTTCATCTTTGAGGAAATCATCCAACATTCGCTGCCGTAAAGAAGGACAAATGTCACGTTACAGTTCAGTATTCTTTTCCTTTTTACCAAAGATATCCTCCTGTCTCACAGTACTCTGCCCAGGTTTTGGAATGTGTCCTTGGCCATCCCAATACGTCTACCGTCCTACCGATGCTTGCCAGATATTTAAACTTTCGCGTCTGCTTGAATCTAGTGTTCCCGATCTTCAAATCGCATTTCAAGTTCATCCTCTTACTGACGACCATGCACTCCGTCTTCTTGTAGCTTTTGTTTAGTCACTTTTCACTTTCCGTCGTTATCTTCTGTAGGAGATTTTGTAATTTTATTTCCGTGTCTGCTATCAGTACTGCGTCATCTGCGTATCTTGTGTTGTTAAGATTGTGTCCGCCAGTGCTAAATCTCGGTAGAGTTTCCAATTCTCTTAGGATTGCCTCGTTGTATAGGTTGAACAGACGCATCCTTGCCTTACGCCCCTTTCTATTTTTGAAAGGTGCATAAGGCGTCCACACAATATCTATTTCCGGTACTGAACATTCTGCCCCTATAGATATAGCAAATTTTAGACGTATTAATGCCGTGTACTTTCAAAACGCAGACAATCTAAAAATTCCGTTTCTTATCTGTGAATTACTATCACTTCCCGGCAGAGAGGCGAATAATAATGACGCTGATAGATGGCTCACGGAGTTTTTGAAACCGTTCAGGTGAAAATGGACTTCATCGCCGGGGATTAATCTTATTGAAGAAATTCATTATCGTCTTTAGCCATCTGTTTTTAGAACGTAGAACTCAATCAAGTCGTCCCGAGCAATCTAACGGCTTTATCTCTCCGAGTAATTGCATCTTGTCTGAATGTAAATCCTTATTTAGTCGCTGGAGGGACGTTTACTGGTGATGCCGAACTTTCGGAAACGAAGCCGAGTAGAAGGCATTCTTGTCCAATACTTTACACGACTCGAGGACATTTTTTTCCGAGATTCACATGGAGAGTGATCTCCCGAATCGTGGCAAATCGACTGCAGATTTCTGATGGAAATAACAAATTCTAGCCGATTTAGAGGATGGGTTCCTCATTTGGTAATTGTGCATGGAGACAGTCTGTGTTGAGCACAATGAAGCGTAATTTTTTTTCAAAATAGAATTCTAAGTTTTTTTTGTTTTTTTTTAATTCTTTCAGCTGTAGTAAATCTTTCCATGAAAGAAGTGAAACATTAATATGTGAAATAAAGAGGAAACATATTTAAAAATAAAATTAATTAACTTTACAAAAGTTAATCGACTTTGGGACCATCCTCTTTGAAAATTAATCTTTAAGTTTAACATCAGTCATGCTGAGGGAGGGTAAAAATGGTTATCTATGACAATTCATGAACATCAGTTTAGTTTTATAAGTGTTAAAACATAAAAGCAATTTCTTGCACCAGTTAACAACTGATTGGAGGTCATTTTTTTAGAGCAGCTGCCAGTTTTACTTTGTTGGATATATCAGTTTTACTATTAAGACAAGAGTAAAAAATGATGTAATCCGTATAAATACCAAGTCGGGTTCGTTGGAAACGAAGACAATAGTGCTTATATCAGTCATCTTGTGTATGGTAGACAATTTCCTCGTAGACGAAGAGGAGAGATGAGTCAACAGAGATGAAATTTTACAGAAACTTATTTTTAGGAAAATCTATGACAAAGTTGAAAAGGTTTTTGTATTTTGTCCCTTATCACTTCCTCGGACTAAAATGTCGAGGCTTATTTTAAGCCAAAAGTATAAAATTCAGAACACCAGTTCTTTTAACTTTTAACATAAAGTTCAAAAAATTCTATAGAACATTTAGCTTCAGTCAGTTATGTACTATGCGTGATACACACTTAGGCGATCATGTATCTTTCAATACTTGACTGGCGAGGCAGATGTTTTCTGCAGTAGACCAGTTGCCATCCAAGGCTATAGAACCCGATCTGTCCTGCTATTTACCCATAGCTGGGGGAGAAGAGGATTAATACCTTTCCCAAGGGTATTAGCACGAAAGTGAATGTAATGGACATTCGGTTTTAACGGACCCCCTATTCCCCCTATTAGTCTGTTCAGAGATTTCTCTGTAATATTAACAGAAAGTTTTATGGTAATATGTACTACGGTACATGATTTGTTATTGTAGAGCGTATGAAGGACTGCAACCACGCCATGTCAGGCTTTTTTTTTCTTTTTCTTTTGCTGTTGTCCACCCAATAAAAGGCTTAAGAGCCACTCTAGGTAGAGAGCTAAAGAATGAGATTAACTCGAGACGTGAAGATTTTAATATTTTAGTGATCAGTAAGTCTGTTCCATTAACTGATTGTTCTTCGGCAGAAGCTGTTCAAATGGATCTTCTTCCTTACGAATGGAATAAGGATAATTCGACCCTGTTGATGTGTCTCTTGTTCTGTTACATTGTGGTTCGATTAATCTCAAGTTTATGGCAATTGTGATTGTTGTATCGGAAACCTACCACCCCTCTTGAAGATGAACTTCTCTGTGAACAAAGACTTTAAATAGTGGCATGTCAGTTGACATGGGGAGGACAGATAGACAGAGAAGTTCTTAGGTGAGCTAGTTATTGACTACTCAGGAGATTTCTGTACCTCTTTACCAACCTATTAAAACCCTTTTTATTGTTACGTGTTATTTGGCGTTTGTCTCTACTAACCCCTAATCAACATCATAACAGTGATATTCGCAATTGAATCGATGATCGAGCCCAGTTAAAATACCAAGATTTCACATGTTGATTTTACAAAGCAGACACGTCATCTTTAAGACGATTGGCGCAGTACAATCATCCTGTTTCTGTTCCATCCCTTCTGTCCCATTTTCACCTTTACATTAAGTCGCCAGTTAAGTTAATATCAAGAACAAGTCGTTTAATTTTTATTTATGAGTTTTTTAATTTTTTCTATTTAAAAGCTATGAAATATACTTAAATTTAAATATTTTTCAACTTAAATCTATTTTTTACTTACTATTATATTAAAAAAAATACTTTTAAAAATTTGTGTGGTGTCTGTTTTTTGTTCAAGGCTCAAGATTCACTCAAAGTAGAGGGTTATTGAATGCGCTTGTTGAAAGTGCTTACGGCCATATCACGTTGAAACAGTGGTTCTCGTACGATCACCGAAATTAAGCAAAGTCGAGTCTGGCAAGTACTTAGATGGATGACTGCTTGGGAATACCATGTGCTTTAGGCTTTGATGTGCAGGTGGTGTAATGGATAACGGCTCAGAATTGTTAATCGGAGAACAAATTTCCAATTCCAGTCGGGTTCGTTATATTCACTACACGCACATACCCCTGGAAAACATATGAACCCACCTCTCCTCACCTATCTATAGATTAATTAGTAGGACTTGTATCAGTAAATCAATATTATCTCAAAAAAAATTGTCATACAATCTAAAAAAATATTTTCCGGTTTTAAATAAGCTGCAAAAGTTTGATAAGCCATAAAAATATATCAATTTCCAGGAAGAACGACTAACACCTGACCAAGATTGTGCTGTATGGGGAACTCTCTATTAGACACCGCGAGAATGGGGTACTCTCTCTTTAAAAGAAAAAGTCTCTGAATAAAACTCAGTACTTGTCTCATTGACCATCATCAATGGTCTGACCTAACCGCAAATCAGGGAAACCTGGTGACTAACCGTCCATCAAGCTGTCTCTTTGTTATAGTGGAACACCCCTATTCTATAGTTAATAGACTCTACCACCTATAATAAGTAGGAGTAGTAAGAGTAACGAGGAAGTCGCTCAGTGAGTTGGTCAATCAGTCGATGCCGGACGACTAAAGTATCAGCGACCACAACTAGTTTTCACTGCGTCATACCTATTATATCAAGTTCCTAACGTTTTGTACGTCGAACCTACTTTAGGACCGACTTAGTACAAATACAAGCCTCCACTTTGAAACCACTCCATAACACTCTTCATCCGAGAAGGAAGGCTGGACTTAACTGATGGGCCAAAAGAGTCTCTGAATAAAACTCAGTACTTGTCTCATTGACCTTGGTCTGACCTTGCCGCAAATCAGGGAAACCTGCTGACTAACTGTTCATCAATCTTCCGAGACAGGAATTGATGGACAGAAGGATACAGAGGAAGGAAAAAACTGTCACCACAGCAACAAACCAGCACCACATTTCCTCTGTAGCCATTGTGTACGAGCCTGCCTGTCCCGCAATGGACGAATCGGCCACCAGTAAGCCGGCTGTAGACGCTGATAGCCTCATTCTTAAATCTTCGTTCCCAAAGTGAAGCCGAGAGAAAGAACCATCGGCCTAGCATTCAGCAGTCAGGATTTCTGGACCTTAAGCTATTACGCAAGACCAGTAAGTAACCAGCAGGTCTCTTTGCAAAAGGAGGTGTGGAATGGTGTTATGGCACAGACGAAAAAAAAATTGGTTGACGCAGCAGCGAGTAGACTTAATTATAACATCAGCTCTACGATGATGAGTTGGATTAGCTTAGCAGAAAGAAAGAAAAAAAATAATGTAAAAATAATAAATTTGGTTTTCATCTCGCCTGTATATCTTGCCAGACAAACACTTCATGGTAGAGCGGAAAGCCTACTTCAAGCTTCTGATGCAACAGAACAATTTCTCTTTGGCTGCTGTCTGTGTCTCTGACAAAAAAAATAAAAACAAATTATTCTAGCTCGACATAATATGCTGAGCGTTGTCATTAAACCCCTAGACTTACAGTGATGGGGGGACAAGACCACACTAAGTGCCACGATTTCCCTAGTGAATACGTTTGTACAAGGCGGATTTGCTAGCTTCACAATCAACCTGTTTTGAACTTAACGTTATTCTTCTTCTAGACTGGTTGGCAACCAATGTTAATATCCATTCTGTCCTATTAAACCCCAACCAGATTTGGATTAAGAGTTCTCCTGGGCTGGTTATCAGCTAAACTTATGAGGCACTTTCTGTCGTGATATTAATTCCTAGCTGTGAATCGAAGAGGTTCATACCTTTGGAAGCATGCTGGCTTCTACAAGACATTTCTATAAATCTGTCCATCTTCTCTTTCAGTAACATACCTGGACTGAGGAAAGTAATAGATACCTGTCCCCAAGTGCTTTCAGTTCAAATAAAATTATTTTATAACTCGGCGGTCTCCAAATCTTTCAATACAAAGAACACTTTTGTTTATTTACATTGTTCAGGCGGTTCTCCTCATTGCCACGCTCCGGACTTCTTCAGGTGATTGGACCTGAACCGTTAATTTCGTCTACCTGGGTAGACTGTTCTTCTAGGTGTCTGTTATCTCGCCTTAGGGACTTATAAACTTAATGTCTCTGTAACCGTTTTTACAAGAGATTACATTGCAATTTTGTTATTATTGCTTTTCTCTATCACCCCGTATTACTGGCTGCCATATTGGGTTCAGTTCGACATTCCAATCACCTGAAGAAGGCCGGAGCGTACAACTGCCGAAATGTTGTGAATATGGCAATAAAGACGAGGATAACGGTCCGAACAATGTAAATAATGACAATAATTCATCTAAAAAATAGAGACAGGTACTTAGTTTCAGTTGAAAAAAAAAGTCAAGTAAACAGAGATATCCATAAAAGGCATGGCACGTGGAACTAGAATAATCTACCCCAGTGGACTAAATAAAGAGTTCGATTTGAAATTCCACAGTATATCACCTGAAGAAGGTCGGAACGCACAACAGGTGAAACGTCGTGAATATGATAATAAAGACGAGAACAAAAGTTCGTACAATGTAAATAGTATAAATAGTTACAATACCTCATCTCAGAAATTTAGACACGTGTTCATCATCATTATTATCATTATTATTTATGGAATTAGTAGCCATGGTAAAATGCAAAAATAACAGAACTATCCAAGAAAGAAAAGAACAGAACAGAGCAAAAAGAATATTAAGCAAGCAAACAATTTATGCAAGACAAATCAACAGTAGTCTGTCTATATTTCTGAGATGAGGTATTATGTAGATTATTTACATTATTCGGACTATTGTCCTCATCTTTGTCGCCATATTTATCACAACGTTTCGGCCGTTGTACGTTCTGGCCTTCTTCAGGTGGTTTGAGTTTCGAACTGAACCCTTTATTTCGCTCACTGGGGTAGACTGTTCTAGTTCCACGTGCCATGTTTGATGGATGTCAGTTATCAGTTATCTCCTGTTAATTTCCCTCTGATAGTTCTCCACTCAATACCCGATTAAATATAAAGGAATATGATATAAATATATATTATTAGATAAAGCCGCTCATCTGCTTTTTTTCTACAGATCTAGAGTCTTCTTGGGCTTATGTTTTCCACTGGCATGATCTGGTGACTATATTGAATCAATTGCTACATTATATTGCTATTGCGTCTTACCAGAATTCGTTTCTTGTCAGAATCCATCTTGCACATTTATAAATCAACCATTCATCCATGCATTGAATATTGCTGCCATGTTTGGTCATTTGCTTCCACTGTATATCTCAAGATTCTTGACAATTCAAAGAAGGGTCTGTAATGAAATCGATTCTAACCTGGCATCTTGACTTTAGTTACTTTTACTTTCTCACCGACGTGACCTGGTGCCTCTCTGTTTTTTCTATAAACATTTCCATGGCAACTGTTCTGGTGAGCTTCTTTCTTTAGTGTCTTGACTGCATAAATTTAAGCGTACTACTAGATTGGCAGTTAGGTCTCACCGTTTTACTGTTGAAATAGCTAGATGTAACTGTCTCTTCTATTTTAAGACTTCTCACATGTGGAAATGGCAATTTAAATGCAACATCAATCACCATCTTTTGTCTTCCTGAACCCTGTCACCTTATTGCCATTTATCCAATTAAAGTCTTCTCTTTCACTCCCCATAACCCCCTGCATCCTAGTGGCATTATTGCCTTGCTTGGGGGGGTGGCATGATAATTTTTTCACAATGATATACAAAACCCAGGAGCTATTCGAGTTTGAGGTATACAGAGTTAGTGCCTATATAAGACAACAGTTGTTGCAGGCTGGTGTGTACGCGTTGAGAGATATAAACATATGTGTCTCCTGAAATGCCCACAACAAAAATGGCAGACTCGGAGTATGAGTCCACCTAACAGAAATATAGAGACAACAAGGACCTATATATATATATATATATATATATATATATATATATATATATATATATATATATATATATATATATATATATATGTGTGTGTGTAAATGATACTGTATTAACAAACAAGGATTACATATACAATAGGATATGGTTGTGTTACTAAACAATGAACATTTAAGCTAGTGAATTGTTTGTGTACGTGTAGTTTGGTGCAGAAGAAAGTCTTACAAAAAAAAATGAAGTGAAAGATGCATACGTACGTGTGTGTATGTATGTTCCAAAAAGGAACACGTTCTTCTGCGAGGAAATTACATTATTTACAGTACCGGAAAACATCCCCAAGTAGCTGTTTCGAAAATTAAAAGGCGGTAACCCGACACAATACTCCCTTTTTTTGGCCCGATCTAGCTCCTTTAAAGGTAAAGGATAGCAGGTGAGGTCAGGTACTTACTGGAACAGTATAGTGGACAGATCTTCTTTCCCATATCTTTAGCAATGGATCTGGGGTGGCGCTCAAGGCATGGTTCCTCCTTGACGGAACATCCTTTTATCAGGGTTGGTAATAGTTCTGGGATTAATTCGTGATGATGGAATATAACTAGTTCGGTTATCAAGGCATTAAATATAACCAGCCATTTTTTCCATCACTGAGATGTTGGACTCAATTGATTGAGAGCTAGATACTTTTGGTCGTAAAAAATGTATTTGTTTCCATTTTGATTACTTCTCAAGAACTGTGCGCATATATATTGACAATTTTTATCTCTGTTTCTATTCTAAAAAAACATCTGTAAATAAAATACCATATACAATATGGGTGAGTTCTCGATTGTGTGATGTAGGGTAATCTAAAAGGTGTTATGCTATAGATCTGGTAAGAAATTAAACAGCTTGTGTTGATGGTGAAATTGAATGAAATAGATTGCTTGACTTACTGTAGAGTTGTCTCGCTTTGACTGATATAGTTACGATTTCCTTTATGTAGTTAAGATATTGACTGAGTTAGTTTATAAATCTCGTCTTGGTTGAATTTGTCACTAGATGAGTTGATGTTGAAAAGAAATTAAATTCCACAAGACGGGTTTGTTAACC